TCTGTATGCTTGTCCACTGTGCCCTGCCTTATGTGCAGACAACTCCGCATCTGTATGCTTGTCCACTATGCCCTGCCTTATGTGCAGACAACTCCACATCTGTATGCTTGTCCACTGTGCCCTGCCTTATGTGCAGACAACTCCGCATCTATATGCTTGTCCACTATGCCCTGCCTTATGTGCAGACAACTCCACATCTGTATGCTTGTCCACTGTGCCCTGCCTTATGTGCAGACAACTCCGCATCTGTATGCTTGTCCACTATGCCCTGCCTTATGTGCAGACAACTCCACATCTGTATGCTTGTCCACTGTGCCCTGCCTTATGTGCAGACAACTCCACATCTGTATGCTTGTCCACTATGCCCTGCCTTATGTGCAGACAACTCCACATCTGTATGCTTGTCCACTGTGCCCTGCCTTATGTGCAGACAACTCCGCATCTGTATGCTTGTCCACTATGCCCTGCCTTATGTGCAGACAACTCCACATCTGTATGCTTGTCCACTGTGCCCTGCCTTATGTGCAGACAACTCCGCATCTATATGCTTGTCCACTATGCCCTGCCTTATGTGCAGACAACTCCACATCTGTATGCTTGTCCACTGTGCCCTGCCTTATGTGCAGACAACTCCGCATCTGTATGCTTGTCCACTATGCCCTGCCTTATGTGCAGACAACTCCACATCTGTATGCTTGTCCACTGTGCCCTGCCTCATGTACAGAGGAAGAATCATTGGAGGCTACAGACAATGTTGTTGCTGTTGCCTGCTTTTGGTCAAAAGATATTTAACCGCTTGTGCTCAGTTTATCAGTTATTTTTATAAGTTTTATATTAATTTATGCAATGCTTTTGACACAAAATAAATAAATAAATCTTCAAAGGAAGGCAAAGGAAAACCCTCTCTGAACACAACTTGCCAAGAAATCCCCATGACAGGTTCACCCTAAGGTTACCATAAGTTGGAAACAACTTCAAGGCACATAACACCAACAGCCTGGTGTAATGTAGTGTGTAACTTGCTCCAGATTCGTCAAAATAAGTCAGAGTTCTCACAATACACGTCTAGGGTTTTTTTTGGTTGCTATTACCTCTAGGTCTACTAATTCCTTTTTAAATTATTTTTATAGAATTATATACAATTATATAGACATATACAGTATATTTCCCAGTCTTTTGTTTTCTTTCACACCCATACTCCCCCTCTCCATAGCCATCTTCTGAAGGCCCACCAAAAAGTTTAGTTTTTCATGTGGAGGTAAAGGAAGACAAGAGAAATGTTGAGTTGTTGTAGGTTTTTTGGGCTATATGGCCATGTTCTAGAAGCATTCTCTCCTGATGTTTTGCCTACATCTATGGCAGGCATCCTCAGAGGACTTCACAACCTAGCATCTAGAGCATGGCCATATAGCCCAAAAAACCTTCAACAACCCAGTGATTCTGGCCGTGAAAGCCTTTGACAATACAAGAAAAATGTTGTTTGGATATGTTTTTGAAAATCCAAGAACGATAACCTCTCCATATCTTTTGTCATCTGGAGGAGCCCTGAGTGACTAACCGGAAAGCCCAACTTCAAAATTTCATCCTCCTTACTATGAACTTACTGGGTGGCCTCAGGCAAGCCACTTCCCTCTCGACCCACCTCGGTCTGACCTGTATTATATGCCTGTTGTAAAGGGTTACACCCTGATAATGAGAACAAAATGCTTTGAGCGCTTGAAATCCTACACCAAAAGATTCCCAACTTTTCTTTGGTCATGGCAACGCCAGTGGTAAAATTGGGAAGCCTGCAAAACGTAGTCACCTAATTCCGTCATCAGATTTAAAATGTACTCCTTACCAATCAGCTCAGTTATTTGATGAATCCATTTTTAAGTCAAGTCAAACTAAAAGAAGTACGTTCCATGCTAGAAAGTGCTTTTTTCCTCTCTTACACACAAAAGGCATGCTTCTCAAGGTAATGTCTGCTGCAACGGATTATGCACTATCTAAGGCCAATTTCAGACAACTGTATAAAGTTCACATTGAACTGGAATATGTGGCAGTATGGACTCAGATAACCCAGTTCAAAGCAGGTATTGTGGGATTTTCTGCCTTGATATTGAGGTTATATGGCTGTGTGGAAGGGCCCTAAGACTACAGCTGACCCTTGACTTGCACAGGTTTAACTTTCATGGATTTGATTATTCACAGCTATGGGTTGCTGTAGGTTTTTCAGGCTGTATGGCCATGTTCTAGAAGCATTCTCTCCTAACATTTCGCCTGCATCTATGGCAGGCATCCTCTGAGGTTGTGAGGTCTCACAACTTTTGAGGATGCCTGCCATAGATGCGGGCGAAGCGTCAGGAGAGAATGCTTCCAGAACATGGCCATGCAGCCTGAAAAACCTACAACAACCCAGTTATTCTGGCCATGAAGCCTTCGACATTTGCATGACTCACAGAATGTTAGCCTGCCTGTCATTCCAACTAAGTACAGTGTTCCCTCACTTATCAAGGGTGTTACGTTCCAGGACCAACTGCAGTAAGTGAAAATCCAGCTACATTAAGATCATTACTGACCAAAAGGTCATGAGTTTGAAGCCAGTCCGGGTCAGAGTGAGCTTCCAACCATTGTGTAGCTTGCTGTTGACCTTTGCAGCCCGAAAGACAGTTGCATCTGTCAAGCAGGAAATTTAGGTACCGCTTATGCAGGGAGGCTAATTTAACTAATTTACGATGCCATAAAATCTCCAGCAAGCAAGCACAGAATGAGGAAGTACTCCATCAGTGTCACAAATGGACGGTGAAGCAATAGCTCCCCTGGTGGCCAGAATACCCTCATGAAAGCTGGAAAGTTAAACAGCCTCTGTGTGTCTGTCTATATCTGTTGTGTGTTTATGGCACTGAATGTTTGCCATGTTTATGTACATTGTAATCTGCTCTGAGTCCCCTGCGGGGTAAGAAGGGTGGAATATAAATACTGTAAATAAATAAATAAATAAATAAATACTATATTTGATATCACGACTTTGACATCAATAATAAAAAACATCGTTTTTGGTTCTGTGGCTCACTGTGGAAAATCACTGAGTTTGTCTAGAAGACTTTTATTTAAACATAAGCGTAAAAAAAGTTAAAGACAACTGTGTACTAAAGGGGGAAAACGTGGTTTTCTCCTTCCCACTAAGAATAGAGGAATTTAGCACGGATGGTAAACACACAAACATACAAAGAGAGAAAAAGATCACATTGGCCTCAAGCAATACAAAACCTGTGATTTTTTTGTCACCTCATTCAACAGGCAGCACTGTTGGCACGGACAGCAATCATTATGGGACAAACATTTCTCTTCCTTTCCGTGATATTATAAGAAAATGTTATGACCTCTGCTGCTCCAGAAGGGCTACTTTGCGTGGTTGTTTTGTTGAGGCCAGTCTGGCCAGAGAAATGAAAAAAAAAATCTGTTTTCAAGCCCTCTTATTCAAAACCACCATGTTTTCTCTCCCAAAGTGAGAAGTTTGAGAGTTATAGTAAGTATAAATAGCAAAAGCCTGGCCTTTGTATTGTTGAAGGCTTTCATGGCCAGAATCACTGGGTTATTGTGTGTTTTCTAGGCTGTATGGCCGTGTTCCAGAAGCATTCTCTCCTGTCGTTTCGCCTGTGTCTATAGCAGGCATCCAACACCTGAAACGTCCGGAGAGAATGCTTCTGGAACATGGCCATTCAGTCTGGAAAACACACAACCACCCAGCCTAGCCTTTGCTGGACAGTACACACAAAAAAGCAGAATATCAGGGGAAAGGATTCATGCTGAACAGGAAGTTTGTATTTAATGGATAGGATTTGCAAACTACCAATGACTTTCGTTGCATGAAGTCTAGCTAGAGCAGATCTTGGTGAGAGGAAATCCCAAATACTAGGCAATTTTTAAAATCCTTTTCCAAAGTACTCCCTATATAACTCTTCTACCAGAAGCATTTATTTTTAGATAATCTATTAAGAGAGATGGTGATTTTAAAATCTTCTTTTTCAGGAGTGTCCTTCTTTTTGTATGCTTTCCCTGATAAAACACCTATATGCCATCACTGTTATCATTTAATTACCAGATAAAAACAAATTGTTCTGATCTATCCTAAGCATTTTAATAGGCCTTAATTATTAAATTGTACAAGTTTCGTGCGATTATTGAATTGCACAAGCTGTCAGCCTCAGCTTCTGCCAACCTAGAAGTTCGAAAACATGCAAATGTGAGTAGATCAATAGGTACTGCTCCGGCGGGAAGGTATCAGCGCTCCATGCAGTCATGCCAGTGGCTACATGACCTTGGACATGTCTACGGACAACGCCGGCTCTTCGGGTTAGAAATGGAGATGAGCACCAACCCCCAGAGTCGGACACAACTGGACTTAATGTCAGGGGAAAACCTTTACTTATTACTACATTACAATATTATTATATATTATTATGCTGGCCACATGACCTTGGAGGTGTCTATGGACAACGCTGGCTCTTCAGCTTAGAAATGGAGATGAGCACCAACCCCCAGAGTCAGACACGACTGGACTTAATGTCAGGGGAAAACCTTTACTACATATATTGATATTATATATTATTATGCTGGCCACATGACCTTGGAGGTGTATCTGGACAACACCGGCTCTTCGGCTTAGAAATGGAGATGAGCACCAACCCCCAGAGTCGGACACGACTGGACATAATGTCAAGGGGAAAACCTTTACCTTTAACCTTTACAAGTTTTAGTCTGCCTGTATGTGCGTGTTCTTTAAGTTTCAAGAGCTGTAGTTTTCTTGGTTTCTGCATTTGTTTCAATGTAGTTTTGTGTTGAATGCCGCCCAGAACTCTGATCCAGTGAAGAGAAGTATTAAAGTGGGTATGTGTGTGTGAGTGTGTGTGTGTGTGTGTGTATATATATATATATATACACACACACACACACACACACACACACACTAAAGCGAAAAAGCCAGTTAGTATGCTAGTAGTTGCCGAGGTACCTACTTTGGCTGCACTGATGACTGTGGCAGTGTAGGACTGAATATTGTCTCCACAGGCCCCACCGCGGGATTGATGGCACCGGATCAGCTGTGGAAAAAGAAAGAGAAAGAAAAAGAAAGAAAGAAAGTGTGTGAAAGAGAGAGCGAAAGAGAAGATGTGCATCAGCATCTCTCCTAGGAAACAAGCACAGTCTCTTGCACAGTCTCTTGCAAAAAACATGCACAAAGTGATAATACAAACATAGCATATGGGTATTAGAGTAAACAATGGACTGACTGAACTGATTCCTTACCTTGTTTTCAGCATATGCTAGCCACCGGCTTCCTAGGGCTATGGGGTTCATGTTTGGCCCTGGGCAAGGATAGCAACCTGAAAAATATCAAAAAGACACCCCTGAGAATAACAGAACATAGTTCTTCCAAAGCATTCTGTACCAAAAGAAAAAAAAAGAGATTTCACATGGCCACCTGCCTCACCTCCATGCTCTCTGGGGTATGCGGAGGGCATTTCTGTAGAAGTAATAATGGCATGCATACAATGTTAGGAGCAACTAAAGGACTTATTTAGAAGTTAATATATAGTTAATTTTCCACAGTAGTGACGGTATCCAAATGTGATCTTCAGATGGCTTTTTTGGGATCCCTTAATGAAGACACTTACATCAGACCAGATTCTCGGGAAAAGTCAACTTGCCCAAAAAGTCGGTCTTCTCGAGATGAACATAAGCGTATCCATTAGAGCAGCTGGTCTCAATTTTGTTCTGTTTGTTTTGTTTTTGATCGGAACACTAGAAAACTGCTGGGGGTCTCAGTGGACCATTTAATGGACTCTCTGTTGTTCCAGAAATCAAAGCATATACATAAAATCTTAATAACTGTAGCCCTGCCTTCAAGAAGGAGTTTTTCAGAGAAAAATAACAAGCAGTGCCACCACCCTGTTATGAAATCATGGGCACTAGACCAAGACCTTGTAGCATTGTTGGTAACCCAACCCTCATTCCAACTTGGTAATGGTGATAACTCTTTACAATATAGTGTAGTGTTTCTCAACTTGGGGGTCAGGACCCCTGGGGTGTCACGAGGGGGTGTCAGAGGGGTTGCCAAAGACCATCAGAACACACAGTATTTTTCTGTTGGTCATGGGAGATCTGTGTGGAAAGTTTGGCCCAATTCTAATGTTGCTGGGGCTCAAGAGGCTCTTTGATTATAGGTGAACTATAAATCCCAGCAACCACAACTCCCAAATGTCAAGGTCTATATTCCCTAAACTCCACCAATGTTCACATTTAGGCATATTGAGTATCTGTGCCAAGTTTGGTCCACATTCATCATTGTTTGAGTCCCCAGTGCTCTCTGGATGTAGGTGAACTACAACTCCAAAACTCAAGGTCAATGCCCATCAAACCCTTCCAGTATTTTCTATGGTCATGGGAGTTGTGTGTGGAAAGTTTGGTCCAATTCTATTGTTGGTGAGGCTCAAGAGGCTCTTTGATTGTAGGTGAACTATAAATCCCAGCAACCACAACTCCCAAATGTCAAGGTCTATACTCCCTAAACTCCAGCAACGTTCACATTAAGGCTTATTGAGTATCTGTGCCAAGTTTGGTCCACATTCATCATTGTTTGAGACCTCAGTACTCTCTGGATGTAGGTGAACTACAACTCCAAAACTCAAGGTCAATGCCCATCAAACCATTCCAGTATTTTCTGTTGGTCATGGAAGTTCTGTGTGCCAAGTTTGTTTCAATTCCATCATTGGCAGAGTACAGAATGCTCTTTGATTGTAGGTGAACTATAAATCCTAGGAACTACAACTCCCAAATGACAAAATCAATCCCTCACAACTCCACCAGTATTCAACATTGGGCATATCGGGTATTTGTGCCAGTGAATGAAAATACATCCCGCATAACAGATATTTACACGACAATTAATAACAATAGCAAAACTGCAGTTAGGAAGTAGCAATGAAAATAATGTTATGGTTGGGGGTCACTACAACATGAGGAATTGTATCAAGGGGTGGCGGCATTTGGAAGACTGAGAATTACTGGACTAGATGTCCCATGTGGTCTCTTCCAACTCTATAATTCTATGAATCCAAGACAATGAACACAATGAGACATGATGGCATTAGGAAGGTTGGTGTAGTGGATCATCTGGACTTTCCTACCTACTTAGAAGTGACACAAGAAAAGTGGTGAATACATATAACATCTTCACCACAACATTTTTGTCATGTGTGCACTTGAGAAGGCTGTGGGGAATGCTTACTTTCTTTAGGAACAGTACAGAAAGTCATAGAATCCTAGAGTTGGAAGATACCTCATGGACTATCCAGTCCAATCCCCCGCTTAGAAGCAGGAAAAAGCTAGTGTTGTCTTGAGGAGAGTGTCAGCAGGCTGAAGCCTATTAGAGATAGTGAGCCAAAGCTGGTGTCGTCCAGAGGAGTATGAGGTAAACCTCAGTGTGAAAGAAGCCTCATGTGAGAAAGCTCCAGTGTGAAGGCTGCTGCGTGTAAAGCTAATATGTATTTGTTTGTTTGTGATATGGAAACCTAGTTAATAGAATCCTAGAGTTGGAAGAGACCTCATGGCCCATCCAGTCCAACCCCTGCCAAGAAGCAGGAAAAAGCTAGTGTCATCCTGAGGAATATGAGGTAAACCTCAGTGTGAGAGAAACTTCATGTGAGAAAGCTCCAGCGTGAAGACTGCTGCGTGTAAAGCTACTAGGTATTTGTTTGTTTGTGTTATGGAAACCTAGTTCATAGAATCCTAGAGTTGGAAGAGACTTCATGGGCCATCCAGTCCAACCCCATTCTGCCAAGAAGCAGGAAAAAGCTAGTGTTGTCTTGAGGAGAGAGTGAGCAGCCAAAGCCTGATAGAGATAGTGGGCCAAAGCTGGTGTCATCCTGAGGAGTGTGAGGTAAACCTCAGTGTGAGAGAAGCCTCGTGTGAGAAAGCTCCAGTGTGAAGGCTGTATTCAAAGCACCCCCGACAGATGGCCATCTAGCCTCTGTTTAAAAGCCTCCAAAGAAGGAGCCCACCACACTCTGGGGCAGAGAGTTCCACTGCTGAACAGCTCTCACAGTCAGGAAGTTCTTTCTAATGTTCAGATGGAATCTCCTTTCTTGTAGTTTGAAGCCATTGTTCCATTGCGTCCTAGTCTCCAGGGCAGCAGAAAACAAACTTGCTCCCTCCTCCCTATGACTTCCTCTCACATATTTATACATGGCTATCATGTCTCCTCTCAGCCTTCTCTTATTCAAGCTAAACATGCCCAGCTCTTTAAGCTGCTTCTCATGGGGCTTGTTCTCCAGACCCTTGATCATTTTAGTCGCCCTCCTCTGGACACATTCCAGCTTGTCACATCTCCCTTCAATTGTGGTGCCCAGAATTGGACACAGTATTCCAGATGTGGTCTAACCAAGGCAGAATAGAGCATGGGTAGCATGACTTCCCTGGATCTAGACACTAGACTCCCACTGGCTGGGATCCCTTAAGATGCTTGATGCTCCCACCAAATGGATAAACTATGCCAAACTCTTACAGTTTACAGAATTCCATGAGCATGAAAGACACTGCTATGCACACAAAGCACACAATTACATTAAGACATCAAAGGTCTGCCCACAAGAACTTCCCATCTGCTAGATAATCTGACCAAAAAGGGAGACAAACAGAGGTGTAGAACGGGAACAGAATAAATAACGGATAGGAGGGAATGCTTTGTTGCAAGACACTGTTTATGACCAGAAGATGACAAACAAACCATTGAGTCCTTTCAACTAATATTTTGTTTATTCCCAAAAGAAAGAAAAAGAAAGGATAAATTAAACTTTGTTTATAAAGGGTATGAAGTAATATAGTTTGCAAATGTGTTTACAAATTCCCTTTGGAGATGAAGGGCCCTATAGAAATGCCATCACTCTCCCAGCCTGGAGCATCTTCCATTGTTCAGAGACTTCCTCCCGTTTACATCTGCCCTTGACCTCCCTGCTGAAGGACTCCAACCAAGACGCCAACACGAGAAGACAAATTCCTGGTGTACTTTGGCAAGGCCTTATGAGAAACATATGAGGCTGTCTAAACTAGCGTCTAACCACTCTGCTCTCTAGCGCTGCACTGTTGACATAGGGACAAGCATTTGCTCCCTTGCTCTGAAGCACAGAAGGTCCTTTCCCGGTCCAGCTGCCTGGGATTGTTTTGAAGTGCAGACGCCAGGGACTGAGATTGGCACAGCAAGGGCTTGGGCAGGGAATCAAGGCTCATCCAGGAGGGCAAACATTTCTCTGGACATTGAGAATTTCCAGTTCTTTTTATTCTGAACTGTTTACAAGGGTTGAATGAAAAGTAATGCCTCCACCTTCATTACTTGGGTTTGGATGGGAATATTTTAATAAATCAAGTGCAGAAATAATCCTTAGAATGTGCTCTTTAACTACCAGTATTCACTTTTCCACATAATCACCAGACAATTGGATATATTTCTGCCAACAATGAACAAGTTTTCTGAAGCCGTCATGGAAGAAGTCGACACTCTGTTTCCGCAACCAGCGTCTCACAGTTCTCTCAACGTCTTCATCAGAAGCATCACGATGTCCCCGCCGATCTTCTTTCATTATCGGGAACAGACGGTGCTAGATCTGGACTGTATGGAGAATGTCATACGGTGGTGAGATCCAGTCGCTTTCATTCAGGTGTCAGCATCCTGGGTACCCATCGTGCACAGATCTTTCGATAGCCAAGCAAAGCAATAATGTGACCCACGCGTTCTTGTGAAATACTGATTATGTTTGAAATGTCTCTCTGAGTGATACGACGATTGTCCTGAATCAATCTTTCAACCTTTTGCTTGTAAATCTCAGTGGTAGCTGTCACAGGACGTCCAACTCTTGGTTTGTTACGCAACCAGCATCTCACAGGAATGCCTCCACCTTTGTTACTTGGGTTTGGATGGGAATATTTTAATAAATCAAACGCAAAAATCATCCTTAGAATGTGCTCTTTAACTACCACCATTCACTTTTCCATATAATCACCAGACAATTGGATACATTTCTGCCAACAATGAACAAGTTTTCTGAAGACGTCACGGAAGAAGTCAACACTCTGTTTCTGCAACCAGCATCTCACAGGAATGCCTCCACCTTCGTTACTTGGGTTTGGATGGGAATATTTTAATAAATCAAGCACAAAAATAATCCTTAGAATGTGCTCTTTTAACTACCAGTATTCACTTTTCCATATCATCACCAGACAATTGGATACATTTCTGCCAACGATGAACAAATTTTCTGAAGCCGTCATGGAAGAAGTCGACACTCTGTTTCCGCAACCAGCGTCTCACAGTTCTCTCAACGTCTTCATC